TTACCTTATTCATCACAGGATAATATGTGGTTCAATAATCTCATGGAGTGAATGATGATGAACAAAACAATAATAATAATATCCATAACAACAATGACAAAAATAACCATAATATTAATGATAATAACAATAATAATAATAATAATAATAATAGTAACAAAATCCAATTCATAAAACAGCATTATTCAAAGCTTCACATGACCATAACCCCCAGACAAAGCAGCACTAACCTGCCGTAGGCAAAACGTCGGTCTTTGTCATGGTCCCCAAAGGTGTCCCATAATCGTAGGGAGACATTCACACCGTCAACTACCACACAAGACCGTTCCAAAACCTGAAATCCAAGAGTGGTTATGTCCACCTATATGTGCGTTTTAGGCTTGCAAAGAGGAAACGTTTCAAAAATTCTGATTATCGAAAAAAGGTATTGAAACAAAATCAGCTTTTAAAATTATTCTAACATTATCAGTTGCCCTGACATGTTAAAGATAATGAGCAGAGAGTATAATAAAATAATATACAATGATAAGTCATGCGAGAGAGAGAGAGAGAGAGAGAGAGAGCAGAAATCTCACATTCGCAGGAAAGAAAGGATAAGACGAACATATGCATGAATGTCAGATCCATGAATTTTGTACTGCATTTAACAATAAAAACAAAGACAAAGTGTGATCGATAAACAGATAGATAGATGGATTGAGACACCGAAGAAAAGAGAACACAAATTTTCTTTCTATCACCTACATAGTATTAAAGTAATTAAAGCAGTTTGAGACAATCATACTCTTTTTCTAAATGACTGTAAAGAGAAAAAAAACTTATATCATTCAACTGCTAAGCATCCTTTGTAACATAAACTCAAAGTTCTCATTTCTTTTTCCTTGCTTAAGCTATGAAGGCAATAAATTATTCCTTAAAAAGTAACGTTTCCAGACATGCCTCTGATAAAACTGATAATGTACAAAGGTCTTTAGTGTACATTGCATCTGTTATGCCCCCAAGAGAATACAAATGTGTTATATAAACACTGTTAATTATTAATTATATATCAAAATTGGGATATTTTTTGATAAATAAATGCAAGCAACCATTATCATTAATTTATTCACTTCCCCTCAAATACCTGAAAAAAGTCATAAAACCCAAGTGAAAAGCTAATACCCACACAAGACGAAGGGAAAAGGTAAGCAGACATGCCCTGCTGGACCAAAAAACGATCGTTACCTCCTTGTATATCCTGTACTGGTCGATGGCAAAGACAGTGGGCACATGTGTGTTGAGCAGCTGTGAGAGAGAGAACTGCTTGTTGTAGGCCCGAGCGCAGATAAGGCGGGTCTTGCCCACTGCTGTGTCTCCCACAACCACACATTTCACCAGTTCCTGATGCGGCTGTTCATTATCCATGGTCCACACCCATTATCACAGGCATGCCTAAAAGGGGGGAGACAAACGGAAGATGTTATTCTCGAGTTTTAGATGTGGATGCCATTTATTCATATGTGTTGATGAATTATATTGGGATTTGTGATAATAGTGATTAGGATGGCACGAATATGTATCTTAGTACATGGTGAGAATTAAAACAAGGCTTCATGGTAATTATGGTGGCAGCACAGGCTATCACTGTTTCTATGTTTCTGTTTTTCGATGATGGTAAAATGAATCCACAGTACTGAAGAAAAATAACAGTATTAATAATAATCTCATAGGCACTGAGGGAAAACGTAGAAAGTAACATTGGTAGTAGTACCAGCATAAGTAACAGTCACTATAATCAGAGCAGCAATTGCAATTGGGATCATTAATAGTAACGGTTGTGTCAGCTATAACAGTAACAGAACATGTGTAGCAATAGCAGTACTGTCACAGTAGTAGTACTAGTACTAGTAGTGGTACCTCTAGTAGTTACTTCAATTACAATTACTATCACTTATATTATTACTATTACCATGATTACTATGATTCTTTTGTAAATGCCATCCAGTAATGGCAGTGATTATAGCAGGGTTATAATTACAGTTGCAATAATAGTAATTAAGACACAAAGTTAAACAAAGTGATGGTAGGCCTATTATCAACAACAATAGTAATTAGGAAGTAGTAGACCTAATCAGAGTTGCAGACGTAATCACAAAAGTAATCAACAGCAATCATATATATCAAAACAGTGACAGGAATCACAGTACTGCTGGAAAAATATTAATCACTGTAACTGGCCATAGAGACAGTAGTAATAAAAACACTAACAAGAGGCCCAGTACTGCTTACAATTTTAGGAGTATAAATAGTTCATAATAACTGTGAGTAGCACAAGTGGTTGTAATAACACTGGCAATATTTTAATACACAAACAGTAACAGTAATAGTTATAAAAGTAGAAATAACAGTAAAACTATTAGTGATAAATAACAAAAATAGTGATATTTCTTAGAGTTAAAACAAGAGCAGAAATAGTAACATGGCAGTGATATAAGTTGCTCTTGTATTTACCTAATCCTAC